CCACCATTTGATGATAGAGCTCATGATCATTGTTTAATTTTTGATATATGTGAAGAAGGTTTACGACCACCAATATTGCCTGGAATGCCTGATGATTATGCACAAATGATGCAGAGATGTTGGGATGTGGATCCATCAAAAAGACCAACTTGTCTAGATCTTTTTATTTTTGCTGATAATAAATTGAAAGAAATTCATGATAATGATTGTAGCAACAGTAGCAGTGGTGGTGGTGGTAGCATTGTTTCACAACATGTACACATATCACATCCAGGTGCATATCATACAAGTAGAATATTAGATGAAGAGATTTCTAGATCAAAAAGCTTTAAAAGTTATACAAGTAATGATAGCTCATTAATTACTTTTGATTTTTAAATGCTGAAAGTGAATAAAAATTTCATTATTAATTTATTGGAAATTATTATCCATTAATTATTACTAACAATATTTTTTATTTACATTTGATTGATTATTAAAAGAAATAATCGATGAATGACTAATTAATCTCCACTACAAATTTACTTTTTCTTTTTATTTTATTTTTATCTTTATTTTATTTCTTAAAGCTTGATTATAATAATAATAAACCTTTTAAGTTTGTTAAATGTTCATTTAACGCATATTAATATGGTTAAGGCTCTGAACGAGTCGAATTCAAAGAAAACTGGATCCGTGGTTTTAAATTATTATATTTAAAAATGTGCTTATAGCTAGTGATGGGCATAAAAATTATTTTGAATCAAATATTAATTTGATAAACAAGTTAATAATTAATTTAGTACTGTGCATAAAATTCAGTGTGCAGAGTGTGCATGCTAACCAAATTTGATAAATTTTTTCCAAATCTGCTGAATTTGGTTAGCACAGCACATTCCACATGCTGAATTCTATACACTGGGATTGATTGACAAAATGGATCTTTTGGATTAATAACTCTCACTCAGAGTGCAACAGTTAATAAGTGGTTATTAACTATTAATAACTTGGAGTTATTAAGTGTAGGGTTAAAAATTCCCATCACCACTTATAGCTAGAATAAGGCAATTCAATCAAATCTCATTTCTACCAATAAAAAATGTATGTTTGCTACGGAATGCATTTGCATTTTGATAAGTAAGACTTTCCCGCACCTAAAAATATGGAAACGATGCGAAACCAGTATGGGTTATTTTTGGCTAGGACAATATCACCATGCAAAGTTGGCATGGTTCCTAACCCAAAATATTCTAGGTCAAAGTTGTCTTTTTTCGCGTTGTGGTCTTTTTCTATTGTCTCTTACGTGTGCATTTTAATACCGAAACATCTACTTCACACGTATGGTGAGACGCATATGAATAATTCATTGAAGCAAGCTTCATCAAACGACCTCCATTATTTGTATTAGATCATGTATATCGATCCGAATTCTCTGTTATTACGCGATTTTGGTTAGTTTCTAGGAATCAATTTTACATTGAAACCACCTTTTTGTTGTTTATTTTTTTTTTGAGTTGACTTGCAACAAACATTAAAAGCTACCGAGAATATTCTTTCAACAATAAGAAAAATGTTTATCTTATTAATTGAACCAAATTGAAAGAGTCCATTGATACCATTCTTGCTACGCCGCAGGATACAAACATGATTAGAGAGCAATTAGAAAAGCAACTAGTTAATAAACACTGTCATTTATTTCGTGAATCACTAATTGTCAAGAGAGGATAAATTGTGAAATACAATTAGTATTTTGGAAGTGTTGTTTGCTTCACATATAAGAAAAATTATCCCAATTCTCTCATTATTGGCTGCGATCACGTGACGATTAATAAAGCAAACCACAACAACGAAAAACGCGTGGTGCAGCACTCCAAGAATGGTATTTGAATTCACAAGGTTGGATTCCTTTAACAGACCTAATCTTGATTGAACATACTAATATATCTGATGACACATTATCTGGGTGGCCTAACTAAAATCATTAACTTTATAGCTTTTTTGAAAATAAAAATTAAATTTACAAGGTGGGATATAGTAGAACTGTAACACACAACGCATGAATTTAATATATTAAATATATTCAATCAAGGAATTTTATTGTTTGAATTCAAAGTCATAATAATTAGTCTCAGGTTATTTATAAACGGCAGCAGATGTAAGATACTATAGTGAGAGATAAATGAGTAAATAGACGTTTAAATCAAATTAAACCATTCTTTTTTTAATTAAAGATTTTGATCGAGTAAATTTTTTACAATTAGCATAAAATTAAATACAAAAATATTAATGTTATGTTCCACGTTTTAAGTTCGTTTTAAGTTCGTTTTTAATGTCTATTTAAAAAATATTATTATTATTGCTCCTTGGTTTTTTTTGTTGGTTTCTCTGGTTCCGCATCAGCTTTACGTTTTAATCCAAATGTTACCTAAGAAATATCATTGTTGTTAATAAGATGATATTTACTCAATAGATCAATAAAGAAAAAAGATATTTTAATATATGCGTGTGTGGTTTTTTACCTTTTCTCTTTCAGGAGCATTCATACTCTGACCAGTTAATCCACCATTCACTGTGATTATACTAGGTCTAGCAATGGTTGATGATGTTCCATTTGATTTAGAAGAACTTCCAGTTCTTTCGTTTTTTGATAACATGCTTGGAGGTGCGACACTATATAATTATGATGTTAACTTTGTTATAAACTAATGCATGTAAAACAACTGTATGTAATATTAAATGCTCATTATTATTATTATTATTATTATTATTACACTTACGCTCGATTGCCAACTGATAAAACAACATGTGCGCTTCCGCTTGCTTTTTGTCGTTCTTGTAATGCAGTTGCCATATTTAATGGGGTATCTATACTGCTCATAGCTTTTAATTTTCTTTCTTCCTCGAGTTTTTTGAGACGTTTTTCTGTTTTGGCTTTTCCGGATGTTTTACCATGGAACTTATGAGATAATTGTCGGAATGCCTAACGTCAAAAAAAAAAAAAATAATTTAATTTATTATTTTATTATTTTTTCTATGATAATTCGTATTCATATAATATAATCTATAGATTATTTCATTCTAAAAAGGAAATTAAAGCAAACCTCTTTTTGTGTCAGTTGATTACCAAACTCGTCAACATATTCTAAATTGATATCTGGCTTATAATCCTTAAATCTTGTTTCTACTTCTCTCAAGTGTTCTCTATCACGATAACTACTCTCAGTATCCCTACCACCGCCGCCCCGATGTCCTTTTTCTTTGGACTTCTGTTTTTCACGTTCACGTTCGGTCTGTCTTTCAAGATCTTTCTTTTTTTGTTCAGCAAGCCATTTTTGTCTTTCTTTTTGTATTCTCTCTTTTTCAAGTAGTTCTAGTGAAGGCTTAATAGACAAACCTTATATTTAATGACAATAATTAGATTAGTTAATAAGAATCAATCGATCGATCGATCAATCATATATGTGTAACTTTTTTATAGGATTAAATTAACAGCCATAAAAATTCTTTGGTTTTTACCTTTTTGTTGTAAAAGAGCTAATGTTGCTGCCATACCACTACTTACTAATGGTTCTTCCTCGACTATACCAGTCTATTTTTTAAATTTACCAATTTTTATATTAGAATATTTAAAATTCAATTTTTTTAAAAGTTTAGGAAAAAAAAAAAAAAGTCAAATTACCAGTTGAATTTCCTCTTGGATTTTTGGCATATCTTGACCACCAGCATCAGCTGCAACTTTCCAACCATGATTTTTATCTTGTTCAACAGAATCTTGCATTTCAATATCTTGCATTGTTTCTTCCTGCCCCTCCTCCTCCTCTTCTTTTACCTCTTCATTAACTTGTTCAGTCACTTTTGGAACAGGTGTAATTGATTCAACATCAGGTACAGGTTTGGGTAAAGCTTGTGTGACGGTGAGAGACCTCACAAACTCCGAAGTATCAGAAATCACAAGTCCTTTACCAGGTATCTCGTCATTTACATCATCATTTAGTGTTTCTCTATATTGTGTCACTATTTAAAATAAGCATAACATAGAATTAGGCTGATTTGATGTTTAAATGACAATAGAAATTAATTGTAAAGATTGTAAAGTTCATCAAACATTTTAATTATAAATAATCAAATATCTATACTTACGAGTTCTGACCATTTCTTCTACGCTGGTCTTTGAAACTTTTTTTGATGCCATTTTTCTCGCTCTAGCTAAGGCTTGTTGCAGATCATCGTCATCGACAAAGCTTACATCGTCAAAATTCTCTTGCCTTCGATTATGATTTCCCGAGTTTGATGAATTTATTTCCATAGAATTATCGTCATTTGATATCGTAGAAGTTTGTGCGTTATTATTATTGTTGCTATTATCATTATCTTCTTCATTATGAGCTTTCTTTCTAACTTTTTTTTTCTTCTTAGTCTATAAAAAAATTTTTTTTTTTTTGTGTTAAAATTAACAAGAAAAATTTAAAAATAAAATAAAATATGTATAGGAAAAAATACCTTTGGTTTATTAAAAGTTATTTCAGCTTCTTCTTTTGTATAATAATCTTTAATCTCTTTCATTTCTTTTTAAAAAAAATAAAAGAAAGTGTGTTAATTAATTAACACATTCTTATTTAAAATATTTTAATAATTTAATATATATATGTGTGTGTGTGAATACATACTATCATAGTCTAACGATATTGGTTTTAATTTTAATTTTTCTGATACTTCACTTCTTCGTTGCTCTTCGCTAATATTAACCATTCCATCATTATCTATAACAAACCCCTATTAAAAAATATTTTTTAAACGTATATTTGATTAAAAGATTTATTAACTTTAAAATAATATCTTTTGCGCTTATTTGCTTTATATATATATATATATATAAATATATATTAGAGAATTCAACAAATCTATCACATACAGCTTGCTTTTCGCCCTCAATTACTTCATCGTACTGTGGTAAAAGTTTATTTTTTTGAAAACTTGCACCGAAATTAAACTCTTCGTCATCATAACCGGTATAAATTGGTTTTTTCTTTTTATTTTCTATATTTTTTTTTAATCTTAGTTCTTCTTCGATTTGTACTGAGATCAGTTGATCACCCTCCTCTAACAAGAAAAAAATTAGATTATTTAATGTTTTAATATGTATGTATAAAGATCTAATAGATTTTCACCAGTACCTTCGTTTTCAAGAATACTGGAGTCTTTAAGAACTAGAATACGTTCCTGTCCGTCTTGAAATTCAGAGAGATCGTGAGCTACTTGCATTTTGGTTATTATTTAAAAAAAAAATTTTATAAAATAAAAAATAAAAAATTGAATTAAAGTTTGTAACACAATAAAAATATAAATTATGAAATCATAGATGAAAAATGATTAATTATTATTTTCTCTAAAAATTATTGATTAAATGGAAGGTATTGATTGTAAAGATAAAAGTGTTACTATTACATTAAAAAAAAAGTCGGATAAATCTTTAATCGTGATAAAGCTTTATTTCTTTTTTTGTTTTAAACAATGTTATTAATTATTATTATTGAAATTCATCAAACCTGAGAGATTATTAAATTTATGGATTAACACAAGATTCAATTTCAAAATAACATATGTTTGTAATGAGATATATAAACTATGTATGAAAGTCTTCAACAATTAAAATGTCAGGATAAAATTAATGATTTAAAGCAAATTCATTAGCAAAAATCGTTCGCCGTGATTTTCACAGTGGCAATATAATTATCATCATCAATTAAAAATGATATTGTTGGAATGATTGCATATTTAGCTCGCAAAGTGTTAAACGATAGGTATCCAGTTTTGGAACGTTGATCTCAGTAATCTCAACAAGACCACACCTTTTCGCTAATATTGCACATGACTTAAACCTTGCAATGAAAATATGTGAAGGAGGAAGACCTGGTTTATCAAACAATGCACCAACATTTTAGATTGAATTCATTTCTGAAGAAATTATTGGATTTTATTGATAAAAAAATTTACAACTGATCCTAGTTTTCCTAGTTTATATATATAAACAAATCAATCAATTAATTTGATGAAATGGACGAAATAAAATATGATCCCTTCAACAATCACTACAACAAACAATTCATTCAAATTCTGTTTATGCCAGTAGACTATTAATTTACAAATCTCCTTCAACTGGAAAATTCCAATAAAGTGACAATGATAATGGTAATTATTAGTGTTGATTGTAGTTTCACATCAAATGGCTCTAGATACAAAAAAATATGATAACAACGCATCTTCTCTCCACTTGTCATATGTCGAGATCAAATTTGATTATTTTTTATATAGTTCTTACAAGTTTTATTGGCCTTGCAGATCCTTCAATAGGACCAAAAAACCAATTGTAGTTTCGAAGCTAAGACCTTTCTCTACAAAGTTACAATTTCACTTTGTTGATATCATGGGCTTTAAAAGTTACACATGTTTATTATGTTAGCCCCAAATTTGCATGTTACACGCAAATTTTTTACATTAATATTAAAAACGAGCGAATCGGAGGTTTTTGTAGTTGGCGAATAAATGCTATATACCAAAAATCTATAAATTTAAAATTTGATTGGATGGTAATGTATGTTTGTTTAAATCATGTGACTTAATATACCATGTGTCTCCAAAATATTGATTTTTTTTTTCTTCAATTATTGCCACAACGACGCAGTAATTTGTAGTGACTAATATTAAGCGTCTTTGCACCATTACTATCACTATCACTATCACTATACATCGAAAAAAAAATTTTTTTATTTGATCGTAAACAAACTCTTGTTATGTGATGTGACAAAGTAGCTCGGCAATCTGCAGTTTTTTGTAATGGTGGATGCTTATAATAATTTTGTTTGATTCTTTGTGTTAAAAATTTTAATTTTTAATTTTTATATAACTATTAAAATTTGTTTCTATATATGAATGTTTCATTTTGCTTCTTTAATTTTATTTTCAACAATCGTCTTCA